GGCTATGTATCAAGACTATCGCACGCATACATGTATATACCATGATTCAACGTTGTGCTCAATCTGCATTGTGTGCCTCAACTGCTTGATCTCTCATTTTGCCTTATAATCTATGCTCGCTGGCCCATGTACGACTACAGCAAATATCATTCTGTAAATCATTCTCAGGCTGTACCTTGAGCCTTCACATGTACTCCCTTGACCCTTGACAAGCTGAAAGCAAGAGGAGATGCGCGCAGGAACCAAACGGTAGGACTCAGGGACCCGGCACGGCAGAGTAACGTCATTCAGTCTAAGGCACACCCGTTTTTCTCAAGCTCGTCTTTTTTTCGAGCTGTGCAAGGTGGTCGAGCTGTCGAGCTGCAGGGGATGTGGGCGAGGGAGTGTATGCATGGGTGCATGGTGTGGAGTGGAAGGGAGGGGTAGGGTGAGCCAGACGGAGCATGTATGTATTGGGTCTTTATGGTTGATGGGACATGTACTGTTCCGATACGCAGTCCAGGTCGGCCCAGGCGCAGGGACAGTAAACAAGCACCAAAGCACATTGACACTTTCTTTTCCTCACCTCATCTTCTCTATCCCTCCCCCGCCCCCCCTTCTTCCTCTATACCTCTTCCCCCTCGTCGATCCCCCCCTCGGCGCTATCGACACTAAAATCAGCGGTTAGGCGATCAGGACTAACCGTCCGGCTTTCGTCATCTGGCATCAAACCCACAGTCCCGCTCTGTGTCTGCTCCTGTCGCCCCGCTGTCTCCAAGCACGCAACAGCAAAAGACTTTTCACTCGTTTCACTTTCCGACATCAAAGCAATACGTCGCATCGCATCTGTATACACACCTATACTCCACCTGTACCACCACCTACCCCGTCAAGCGGGTGTTTCAATTGTAGAATCTAGATCGCTGGCCTGCCCGCAACGTGGGAACCCATCACTTCGCCCGTCACCCGTCGCCCGTACGCTCGTATATAAATGTGAGCTGCACCGTCTTCCTCGTCGGGGTCCTCGTTTGCCACCCGACGTGCTCGAAGTAACCAATAGCACAGCTCACGCCGGTCCCTAGTCTGTCCCTGCCCCATCACCCGCACTCATCAACGCACCGCACCGCGTTTCCCTCTTATACCTTGCGCATACTCGGTCCGCTTCGCCACTGCCCTACCTCAAGACATCAATCTCGCGACCCTCGCAGCTTGATACATAATCGCCTGGGGTCAAATCCCATCCACGAAGCTCTCGACTGCAGATTTGGAGGGCACGGACTCGTATCACCCCACTTGAAAGATCCGCAGCGGCGGGTGTTGCAGCTCGGGTCGTTACGCCATCTCCTCACACATTGCCTGCGTGGTCGAAGCCAAGCGTCGGTCAACGAAAGGTGAGTTTGATCTGCGATATCTATGCTCGCGCAGCATCACTTGATTCTCCTCTTCCTTTGCAAACCTCGTTCATCGTGACTGTGACTGAGGTTAACCCCAGATCTCTTCTGTTTGCTCCTTTCTTTCAACACCCGTTCGTGCTCCTTGGCACATGTGCCAACAAATCCCCCCCACCTTCAGCTCCTGCCTTTACTCCACGCCGTCCCTTTGTCAACCCACTTGGCCCCTTCCTTAAACCTTGAGAGGTCACTTCAAAGGTGCCGCCCCGCTGACTCTTCCCCGCCAGACTCTAAGATCGCTAGCCAATCTTCCCTGCAGAACTGAGCAATTCGAAAAGTCCGGATCATTCTCCTACAGGTCAGTCCAACGATTGAAGAAAAAGGATATAGGACAGAAAATGGAGTCGCTGACGACCCCCAAAGCTCGATTGATTCCATATCTGCTGCTTGTCTTTGTTGTCTGATTGGTGTTGTGACCAGAAGCTATAGTGAAGTTGGTTGCCGTACGTCCATCTCATCACTTTCAAGGGCATCGCTAATATGCCAGACAGACAATGGACTCTCTCTTCTCATCCCTTCCCCGCCCGACGTCTCTCTACGTCTCCAACGACCCCCGCTCCATCTCCCTCCTCGATACCTCCTCCTACTCCCCCTTCCCAACTTTCCCCGGCTCCCAAAAGACTGCCGACCCATACAACCTCAACAACTACCTGCTGCATCCCGCCGACAAGCTCTGGGAATATGTCGATCCCATTCCAGATCCTCATGCGCACGGGTACAGCTCGGTCTCGGGGTCGGATTCGGAAAGCGAGGAGGTGGGGCAGAAGCGCGCGGTGAGAAAGCAAAAGTCGTTGGGCGTGATGAAGTCGAGTCCGCTCTCGCAGCCGCCGATGGCAGCGCTGGAAGTGGCTGAGCCAGTGTCTGAGAAAGCTGGGCTCGTGCGCAAGAGGAGCATGTCGCTCGGGGGGAATGAGAAGCTCTCGAGCAAGGCCAAGGAGGAACTGGTAGAGTCTTTCCGAGAGACGCCGCAGGTCAAGGTAGAGAAGCCAAAGAAGAAGGGGATCAAAAGAGCTTTCACGCTGGGCAAGAAGGACCGCAAGGCTGAACCTATGGCGACACCACCAATGCCGCCTGTTCCATCACTATCCTTCCCCGATGACCTTCCCCCGCCTATTCCTCTTACCACCCGCTCCCCTTCCTCCAATTCCACCCTCTCCTCCGCTTCCTCTACATCTTCCTCGGAAGGGATCAAGACTCCCGCCGAAGGGCAGGTCATTGGAGCGTTGATTGAAGGCGAGCAGCTGGCGAATGCTTTGGAGAAAGGCAAGAAGAAGGGACGGATATGGGGCTGGTTTGGAGGCAAGAAGAAGGGCGAGCTGGCTTCTGCGTCCAGCTCGGCAAAGACGACGCCCAACAGCAGTACCGCCGACCTCCTCTCTGTTCCTTCCTCCCCGCCCCGGGCCAACTCGCAGTCTTCTTCTCCTGGTCAATTCCCTTCCGAGCAGTTTCCGGTGGAACATACCTACCTTACGAATCAGCTACGGTCATCGTCCATGCGCAAAATCACGCAGCTGAAAGCCCCGTCGCCACATCCTTTTGCCCTGGCGTTGATCAGAGGGAACAGAAAGTTGCCTGATGAAGTTGCCATGTCGATACAGAATGGAAAGAGGGTGTTTCCCAAGAGCGTTAATTCGTGGACGGGGTCTGGGGAACTGAGTCCCGCGCAAGGCGGGCTGCGGCTGGGTCTGGCAGTGCGGGATGTGATGATCAAGCTCGATCGGGGCGAACAGCCGCAGGGCACCATCATGGCGCGCCGCCCTTCCAAAAAGTCTCTCGTCCCCCGTCTCCGCGGGGTCTCGGACTTTATCAATCGCCCACCATTCGAGCAGCGCAACCTCGTCTTCCTCCCCTACGGCATCTGCACCCACGTCTCCATGGCCCGCCCAGGGTACGGTGTGTGGGAACTCGACTTTAGCCGCTATATCCTCGGGCTCTCCGAGGTTGACGAGGGGTCTTCTATCTCGGGCTCGCCGAGGGTATCGCAAATGCCTAGTGTCGGCGCTGGGGAGAGGGAAACAAAGCAAGTGAAGGCGATGGAGGAAGAGGTGAACAGGAGAGTGAAGATGGAAGGTGTAGAAGCGGCTTTGAAGGCGTTGACGGCGATAGAGGGCAAGAGTAGTCCGCCTTTAACTTCCAACCCTCTTCTCGAGCCCAAGGCTCGTCTACCTTCGACTTTGGAATCGCCGAAAGCGACAAGACCGTTCTCCATCCGACCTAGTGCCGCCCGCACCAATGCTCAAAGCAGCGAGGAGCACGACGACGATGTGCCCTTGAACCGACGTCGCTCGCGACTTTCCTTGTCGAAATCACAGCCTCTTGCAGCCGACGTTCGTCCCCACACTCAATCGCAGCCTCACCATCATGCTTCGACCTCTCGATTCTCCCAAGTCCCTTCCCTCCCCGCTTCCAGTAACCTCGATGAAGCTTTGCGCGAAGTACAGGCTGCGAGGGAAAGGCGCGAGGGGAACATGAAGGGCGAGAATGAGCGTCGGGCGGAAATGGAACGCGTGAGGGAAGAGAGGAAGGTGAAGGACCGTCAGAGCAAGGTGTTGTCGAGGGGCTTTAGTATGACAGATGTCAGCTCTGTCGATGGCGGAGAGAGGAGGAAGAGCCAGATGATGGGTCTGGGTATTGGGATGGGGTTGGAGCATAAGAGGTCGTCGAGTAGCAACAACATGCTCGAGCTGCAAAAGACGAGCCCGTCCCGCTCCAACCGCGAGAAGAGGCATAGTACAGCATCAATCTACTCTCAGGCTTCTTCGCATTCGCAGCAGCCCCCTGCCTTTCCATGCTACCACCCCAAACGGCCCTCAAACCACCGCACCAAAACTACCGGCGACTCGCCATCATCTTCTTCCTCTTCGCAGAAATACCACTCCTTCTATGAACAACACGCCGCCTCGTCTAGTCTTCCGACTGTCAATCGCCTACCCCTCGCTGCGCCTCAGCAGCAGAGACCGGTGCAGGTGCCGATGATACCGGTTCAGATGCATGGGCAGCAACATTTTGTCTACCGCCAGGCGTACCCGCAGATGCCGATGGTGTACGGGCCTGGGCAGGGTATGGGAATGGGCTATGGTCACCAGGCGTTGGGGGTGCCGGTGGCAAGTAAGAGGATTTCGAGAATGTCATAGGACTATCTGTTTGTTTTTGCTTCTCCCTCTAATCGTCGTCGCCCCCTTGTAGATTTAATTCTTTCAACACACGACATCCTTGGCTTTTTTAGCCGGACATTCTAGAGGACTTTCATGTTCATTACATTAGCTCATCTCATCATCTTCATTCTATCATGTTCTTGTCTTGTATATATAATGACGCTTTAGCATCTCCCTTTGACGAGACGTTTATCGACTCGGTAGAGACGTACATAGATCAAAACACAACATTTACCACTGGGGTATCTTGTAAACATGTAACAGGCACCTATGCACTATTGCACCATTGCTGCCGGGCTATATACATCCCGCATCTTCAGTGAAAGTTGATACCCGATAGAAGAAACATACAGACAAACGAAGAAAGTCTCGCGTGTTAAGATTGAGGACCCAAAAAAAAAGAGAAAAAACAAATGGCCTTGTCCCGGGATCGAACCGAGGACCACCCCCAGATGAGACTAAAACGTCACCCAAAGAGGGCATGATACCACTACACCAACAAGGCCACGATGGAGACTCCATGCTTTGTCGTTCTATATTGATGACCAGATCACCGCAGAAACGGGAAAGCTCATCTAAGATGCCTTTCGACTCCTATCCATCCAGATCATGCTTGGGAATGTTAGCCAGCTTATACTAAGTCCTATTTGGGTATGCAGCCTGGACACCCAATGCACAAGCTCAATACCATGGCCGCAATGGAATTTGCTCATGTATCGACGCGACGCGTCGGTCTTTTGCATGCCTGCGCGTCATTTGGCCCGGTCTTCTCTACTTTCTACCCTGTAACAGTTCATCAAAAATGGACTCAGAATTTGAGCCCTCCGCCCCAAATCGCATCCTCAAGCTTTCCCAGTCCACCATCAACCAGATTGCTGCCGCCGAAATCATCCACCGCCCTTCCAGCGCAATCAAAGAGCTTCTTGAAAACTCGCTCGACGCCGGTGCTTCTCAGATCAAAGTTACCCTCAAGGATGGCGGGCTGAAGCAGTTGACGATACAAGACAATGGTCACGGTATCGGGAAGGATGATCTGCCGCTACTTTGTGAACGATATGCGACGAGTAAGCTGAGGGTTTTTGATGACTTGAAGGGGCTGGGAACGTATGGGTTCAGGGGAGAGGCGCTGGCGAGTATAAGCTATTGCAGTCATGTGGAGGTGGTCACAAAAACCAAGGATAGTGGTGTCGCTTGGAAGTGGGTGATCTCTCTGCTTTGATGAGCCGTAGCTGACAGCAAGTCAGAGCTCTGTACGAAGATGGCAAACTGGTAGCTCCAAAACCCGGTCAATCGGTGGACCCTCGACCCACCGCAGGCAACGACGGCACAACGATCATTGTGAGCCTCCTCTTGATCATCGAGTACGCATAGGTTGACAACTGTGTGAAGGCTTCGGATCTCTTCTACAATATTCCCATCCGAAAACGCTCTTTCAAATCAGCCACAGAAGAGTACACACGCACCCTGACCCTCATTACAAAGTACGCCATACATAATCCGAATACCTCCTGGACACTCAAAAAGCACGGGACGGCACTGCCCGATATTGTCACCCAAGCGGGTACGACGATAGGCAACATCAAGGCTCTGTATGGGCCTTCGATGGCGGCAGAGCTTTTGGAGGTTGAGGAGAAGGTTCTGGAGCCGGCAGAGACACTTGGGGCGAGCTGTAAGGGGTGGGTGAGCGGGGCTAATAGTAATTGGTCAAAGAAGGGGCAGTGGCTACTGTTCATCAACAGTGAGTCTCCTTGGCCTTGTCACATCGTTAGCTGACCCAAGCAGACCGGCTTGTCGAATCGTCCAAGATCAAAAAAGCCCTTGAGTCTCTCTACACCGCATACCTCCCCAAAGGCAGCACGCCCTTTATATACCTGGCTCTCTCCATCGATCCAGCTAAGATCGACGTCAACATCCACCCTACAAAATCCGAAGTCAGCTTCTTGAACGAAGATGAGATGGTGGAGGCTATCGTCGCGCAAGTGGCCGAGGTGTTGAAGGGCGGGAACAAGAGCCGGAACTTTACGGTGCAGACGTTACTGCCTGGGGTCCGAGACTCTGGCAGGGAGAAGAAGGAGGGCGAAAGGTCGTCCTCGTCCATACCGAAATCCAAACCCGCACCCAACTACAAAGTGAGGATGGACCCGACCAACCGAACGCTGGACTCGATGGTCCAAGTCGTCGATCCCTCTCAACTGTCTTCATTCATGCCCTCAATAGGCGACGAACAACGGCCAGCCAAACGGCGTGCAGTGTCCGGCGCGGCCGATGGAGACGTGACGATGTTGGACGAGGAGGAAGAGGGCCAAGGGCAAGAGGAGGAAGATGCGAGGGAGATGGTGAGGCTGGATGTCGGTGAAGGGAGCAGTAAAGGCAAAGGGAAAGAGATTGAAGAGAGCATGTGCGAGTTCACAAGTATCAAAGACTTGCGGAAGGCTGTACTCAAGAACGCTAGTCCAGGTGTGTACGCCACTGGGACATGATTGACAATGCTGACCCCTCCCAGAGCTGCACGAGATGCTCTCACGACACGCCTATGTCGGCCAAGTCTCCTCCCAGCTCACCCTTTCCCTCATCCAACACGCCACAAAACTGTTCCTTGTGAATCACGCCGCCCTCGCTGACGAGCACTTCTATCAGCTCGCGTTGAGACAATTCGGCGCGTTCGATAGAATCAAGCTGGAACCACAGCCTAGCTTGAGGGAATTGTTGACTTTGGCTGTGGAAGATGAGGAAGGGCTCGGGAATGCAGGGCTTTCAAAGGAAGATGTGGTGGACGTGAGTTCTATATATCCCTCTGTGGATTTTGAGCTAATACAGAGGCTGTAGTATACTACAAACCTCCTTGTCGAGCGAGCCGAAATGCTAGACGAGTACTTCTCCCTCCTTTTGAACCCTTCCTCAGATCCCTCAACTCCCGACGCAACCATCGAAACACTGCCTCACATCCTTCGCGGCTACAACCCCAACCTCGATCGACTACCACACTTCCTCCTCTGCATAGCGACGAGAGTAAACTGGGACGACGAGCAGGAATGTTTCGAGACATTTCTGAGGGAGCTGGCTTTTTTCTACTCTCCGAGACCGTTCTCGGATGCAGTTGAGGATACAGAAGAAGGGGGCGAGGAGGAGGCTGGTCAGACGGAAGAGGAGCTGGCGCATCAGGCTTGGCAGTTGGAGCATGTGTTGTTCCCGAGCTTTAGGCGGTATACAGCGTGGCCGAAGAGCCTGGTGGGAGGTGGACTGGGGAAAGGCGGGGCAGTGGGAGCGGTCCAGCAGGTGGCCAATTTGCCTGATCTGTTCAGGATCTTTGAGCGCTGCTAATAAGGTACAGACTTTCGATGTCACGAGAATAATGACGATAGCTGCATGGCATCACTGCACACAGTATTGTAATCTGCAGAATTGTGCGAGACTGCATGTAAGACTAAATGTTGATGATGCTATTCAGAGACACATAACGATTATACATGATTGAAACTTGACTCATTATAATGAACTCAAAAGAAGAACACTACTCGATCACGACTGGATGCAGCTCTACACATGGCTGACCTGGTACCCCTTTCCCTCTCTCGCATCCCTCAACAACTCTGCCACTCCAACCTTCCACCCTCCTCTCCCCTCCCTCTTTGCTTTGCCAACAACTTTCGCCAGCAGCACCATCCACGCAACCAATAAAACACCGTGGAAACCGCTCATGACGGCGGTGTAGATCATGATACGGCAAAAGCGAGGCACGACCTCGATGACGCCGTGCCACTGAATCCAAGCGGATTCGACAGGATAGGTTGGGTAAGGACGTTCGCAAGTGGAGTCGGCGCGTTGGGCGATAGCGAGAGACATGCTCACTTTGAAAAAGTTAGCTGAGAGGAAGATGGAGTATTTCAATGGTAGCCCCACAAAGCCAGAGGGAGAGCTGTGCGTCAACATACCACATCTCACCCCATGCCCTATCGAACACCGTTCTGACGTTGGTCTTCCGGCGTACGGCTGGTAAGATGAGGGCGGAGGGGATGTATATGACCCAGATGGCGATGGAGATGATGTGGGGGATGAACAGGGTGAAAGAGCTGGTGAGGACGGCGGAGATGACTGTAAGGAGGATGGTGAGGACACTATGAGCGACCTGAGATACGCGTTAGTGATCAGCTGAAAGAGATTCCTTGAAAGCCATGGGAAAGACTTGCAAGGAGACCAAGACGAAGGCAGTCGGAACGCATGAGAGTGCAATGATGTACTAGTATCACTGGACGATGAGGAGCCTCGAGTGCGGACAGGCTGACAAGTACGGTACTCGTAAGTATGGCTAAATGAACTTGTGGTGAAGAGGGGATATTGTGATGAGGAGATATGTCCAGAAGACCCTCCTCTTATGTCCACCTCAAAGAGCAGCAAGGATGCATCGCATCGATTGAAGTTCGTCTCTCAGCCGTCTCTTGGCGCTCATTCTCGTCATCTCTGCACCGCCCGCACATCTCGCCGCCGCCGCAAGAAGCCAGCATGCCCGACGGATGCTCGGCCTGCAAATAAGCGCTGGACACTGGCATAGCTAAACATGCAGGATTGCCCCCGAGGCCCCAGACGGCCATGCAGAGAAGAGGGTATATACGATAGAGTATATAGTTTTGTATCCTATCCGAAGTTATTGGTGACCCTTGTTATCATCGGTGATCCCATCATCACCTTGCGTCGCCCCTTGTGCTCTGCTCTATGAAGACTATCCAGGATCGCATATCAGAAGGCAGGAACAGGAGAGGCGCCCGAACGGTTCTTAGAGCGCGGGCATGTCTTCTGTCTTCAAGGACGACTGCCAGCTGCCGTCCCGGGCAGAAAGCATACTCGAGTAGCATTCAAATTCGGTCGTACTCGTTGCACCATGTGCCCGTTGCCAATGATGTCATCTCCGCCGCCGCTCTGTTTGGTTCCACCGAATGGGCGGTGATATGCGACATGCCTTGCGGTCGTCGGCTGTCGGCCTCCAAACAAGCGCAGAGCCTCTCATGGCCGTCTACCGTCTGCCGTCTATGGGGTTGACATCATCAGGACATCATCGCTAGATCGCTATAGATGTTTGGTTCCATTCGGCTCGGCGTACTCGGCGTCGGCGGTAATACTACAGTGCAGTGCGCCCACCCATATACAAAAAGCTGGCCGTCGACATGCATGCCCCAATCGTCCTGAAACCTCGTAAATCGTCTCCTTCTCGGGATTCGAATCCAGCAATCAGCAGACCAAAATTCAACCCGAAAATCCAGAATTTTTCCAAAAATTGCACTGTAAATATTTCTACGCTACTAGACTGCTCGTTCTTCTGTAAGCGGAGTACGGGGTAGTTATCCCCGGTAGCTAGAGTAGAACCTTGTCGGCCTTGTCGCGATTGTCGCTGCATTGGACTATATTTTTTTGGTTTATCTCCTCTTCTAGATCTGTATTTATTCATTCCGGTAGTTCTGTGGTCTGTGGTACCTGTGGTCGCGCTTACTAGGCAATAAAAGTCTCTAAACT